AAAAAAAAAAAAAAAAAAAAAAAAAAAAAAAAAAAGAATATGCGCTAATCCAGTCGGAATAAACTCTCATTTTTGTTTGCTCCAGCGAGTGAGAACGAATAGCATTATCCTCTCCGCAATGTTTTATCAATAACGAATTAATGGCTCGACGTCGATCGAAATGCATATTGTGTTCGTTTGTTTTCACCCCACCCCCAATCTCCTCCTCCTCGTCCTCTTCCCCGCTTTTTTACTGCGCGCATCATTATTCTCGCATACTATGATAAATAACGATATTATTAATGTATGCGTGTAAATCGAGTGTAAATCATTCGTTTATCTAAGGGATAAACTCGTCTCCTCCAGAGCTGGAGTTACATGGTTGATCGACAACTGGCTAAACAGTTAAGATAGAACCATGCACCTCCATCTCTGTTTTCTGTATAAGATATTATGAATGTACTTCCGACGAAGTCCCAGTTTGCAAAGCAAGTAATTTCATACATCATATACATAGGTTTTGAGCATGGGTTCTCTCGTATAGTTACTTGTAAACTATTCAAGAACATGTGCTTACCGCGAAAGCGATGTACTTAAAAATATGCAATAACATCTTGTCTTACGTTAAGTCTGGCTTTCGCAGTATCAAATTTTATGTTAAGTCGAAAACAAATTCTTTTAATTTTGTGAGTAAGAGAAAATATATATTCGCTATTCTCGTCGTAATAGATATTCTTTCATATACCAATCAGTTGTGTCCCTCTGTGACGAAAGAGCAATCTGATCTTCGAAAGAAGGCTGAAAAAAAAAAAAAAAAATCATGGTTGATAAGCATTTTTAATACGAAAAAGATAAAAAAAAGGGAAGAGAAATTATGTTTCGCAGACAGAAAATAGCAGGAAACAAGTAACTACCTAGCTAGTCTGTAATTGTGGTTGTACTTTTTCATACGCCTCTTCTGTAAAGTATAACGATCGCTGTGGTATAACAAATTACAGAATAAACAATTGTATCCCGACTCGTTCTTCACCCGCGCTCACTTTCGCTATTATCACTGTCCTCGATTCCACTATATCTTAGTTGATCTTAGCCATACGTCCATTCACCTTTTTATCGATGAACCGTTCCGTCGATTTTAGCTTACGAAAAAAAAAAAAAAAAAAAAAAAAAAAAAAAAAAAAAAAAAAAGGAAAAACCCAAAAAAAAAAAAAAAAGGAAAAACCCAAAAAAAAAAAAAAAAGGAAAAACCCAAAAAAAAAAAAAAAAGGAAAAACCCAAAAAAAAAAAAAAAAGGAAAAACCCAAAAAAAAAAAAAAAAGGAAAAACCCAAAAAAAAAAAAAAAAGGAAAAACCCAAAAAAAAAAAAAAAAGGAAAAACCCAAAAAAAAAAAAAAAAGGAAAAACCCAAAAAAAAAAAAAAAAGGAAAAACCCAAAAAAAAAAAAAAAAGGAAAAACCCAAAAAAAAAAAAAAAAGGAAAAACCCAAAAAAAAAAAAAAAAGGAAAAACCCAAAAAAAAAAAAAAAAGAAAAAAAAAAAAAAAAAAAAAAAAAAAAAAAAAAAGAAAAATAAACGGGAAACATTCCAATAAAAAACGCTAAGAGAGGCTTCGTTTATCATTAAAATCCGTGAAATTTGCGCATTTTGAATAAAATAGTTTAGTAATACAATAGAATTATTTGTTTGTCGAGATAAATATTATTGGTTGAAAATTTGTGCGATATAAACAAATTTTTAAACATCTTTAAGTGCAATGTTTTCTGTATTCAAGAATAGAATATTAATATTTTGCTTGATGATTAAAAATGCAAAGAAATTATATACTGCATATTTCAATCGTAACATTAAGTTTCTGCTTTTCGCTGTGTTACATATTTCAAGACCAGTTTTTTTCGCGATTAAAAAATATCGAAGATGTTTCGTGAACCGTGTAAGCGTGCAGCAAAAAAGCGAGGTTTAATATTTAAATGAAAAAAAAGAAAAAAAAAAAAAAATGAAAGCGAAGAAAACGCGCAAATGAAAAATTGAGAGCTCTGCCTAGAAATTTTTAGTGTACATCGTGCCCCTGTATTTAGGTATTAATAACACAATACAAATTGATAATCATGTTATAAAATAAAGTTATAAAGAATAATTCAAGTAATATCAACGGCACCGTAAGTAAATATATACGATTAATCTTAAGATCGTAAAGTTAGGATATCAAAAAAAAACAATTCAATCGACGCGAATCGTTCAAGCGATAGTATGGAGAGAAACGAACAGTTTAAAGAGCGTATTTCATGAAATGAAACGCAAACATTATCCAGAAGCGATTTTGATAATCGCATGAAAGACATGATGGAAAATAATGGAACCATAGAAGGAAGATTGAAGAACAATGGAAAGGTAGAGAAAACATTGGAATCATCGGATATATTATATATATATATATATATATATAAAATTTACGTAAATGCGTAATATGTGCACAACTATGCGACAAATCTTTGAGAAAAAGAAAAATAATAAAAAGGAAGGATACAAAAAATTTAAACTTCAATAACAAAAATTTGTTAATGGCATGCAACGAACGTGGCATGAAATAAATTCCAAACGACGATAAACTGTGAGATACCTCATCCAATTACTTGCTTACACGATGGATTAAAAACAAGATGAAGTAGCCCAACGTGATAACATTATTATTA